GCCTCCTCATCCAGTGTGGTCCAGCCATGCTCAAACACTCTCTCGTTCCGCCCCCTCGAAAATCAGCATCGCCTCACTGTGCTGTTTCTCGCAGTGATACTTGCCATCCAAGAGAAGTCAATGGTGGAACTCGAAGGTTGATACCACAAGAAGGATCGTTGCAGCGTGGGCCCCAAACAGTGCATTATTACATGCTGGATGTGCATCACCTGTGGTGCAAGCTCTGTTGTAAAAGCTACACGGTGCATTTGACTCCTCCTCCTTCCTCCGTCGACGACATCGCTGCCACCGACGCCGACGACGAGACCCATGACATCGACGACGACCACCACAGCACCATACAATCCGCTGCCAGGGGCGATCGAAGGCCGCCGAGGGCTGCCGCTGGAGGAACAAACAAATGCCGATGCTGCCACGCACTGGATCTCCCCCAGGACGCGGTCTGATCAGGAGTCCGCGGCGAATCCAGCCGCGGCGACGTGGGCTGCCCAGGACAAGTCGCAATGGTATCGGCACCTCCTCTTCCTCTGAGCCGCGGGGCGCCGAGGGCGGGGAGCCGCCGAAGGCCTCTGCTCCCCTTGTCGGGCCGTGCTGCGCGCGCTGCCGCGTTTGGATCGTTCGCTCCGGAAGGTGCACGCTTGCCGGTCGAACAGGGGGCCGCCCTCCAGGGCGAGGATGTCGGGCAGCGCCTACGCAAGCCCATCGCCGCCGCCGCCGCCGCCGTCGCCGTCGCCGTAACCGTCGCCGTCGCCGCCGCCGCCGCGGCGGCCGTCGTCGTCGTCGTCGTCGTCGTCGTCGTCGTCGATGTGGATGTGGATGTGGATGTGGATGCGGATGTTGTCGTCGTCGTCGTCGTCAGCGAGGGGGGACGAAGGCAGGAGGGAGAAGGACGGGGAGAATGGTAACCAGGAGGAGACAGGAGGAATGCAAGAGGGCAAATGAGGGAGGTTTGGTGGGAGAATGCCATGGGCGAGATGCCGTGGTCATATTTGGGGCCCCCTTCCCCAAAGTCTTCACCCAGGGAAAACCATGTTAAACGGTGGGGGGGGCCCTCATTAGCAGGAGTCGGATAGCAAGCCGGGTTGAGTCCTTGCTCCTGGGTAGGAGACGAGACTGGGTCGGAAAAGGATTTGGGGCCCTGAATCCATGCAGTTCGGGGTCGCACCTCATATATTTTTTCTCTTCCTGCGCGAAGTCTGGCACTTCCCTGAATTTCTCGCTGACCTCATTTACTTAAGATTCGAGGAGACCCTGCACCGTGTCTGGGTTCTCCTTCTCCGCATGCACGCCACAGTTCTTTATGTCAGCGTACTTGGCTCTGATGGTCTCCATGAAGGCCCCCGCAATGCGTTTGCGCATGATGGGTGAGTAGGTAATTGCCCGACTTGTGTTGAAGTCCCCTTTGGAGGTCCTGTTCTGTAGTACCGTGCGTGAGCCTTTGGGATGAGAGCAATTATTGTTTTTCTCAGCATTTAGGAGGCGATCGGCAGGCGTGGGCATTCCTAGGCCGATGAACTTGGTGGGAGCCTTGCCTTTCGTGGCAGGATCCTGGCATTGGTGAGCGCTCGGATCAAAGTCAGCAGCGAAGAGGAGGCGTCCGAGCTTGAAAAATGGCTGAGGTGAGTTCCCGCTCAACCCAGGCCTGGCGCATCGCACAGATCGCAGAACTGCGTATCCTGCAGGGGACGTTCTGCGCATCGCATCCTTCGCGGTCCTTGGGCATATGTTTCCAGAACTCGTCGGTCCAAATGGGGCCCTCCTGCGCAAAGGGGACGTCGGCACGCTTGAAAAGCTCTTTGTATTGTGCCGGGCCTCCGCGGACCTCTCGCGGCAATTTCCTGCGGGCAAAGGAAGCTGAGCGCGCCGTGCAAGTGGTCCCCTCCCCCATGTACTGTGTGCGAAACGATACTGACCTGGCTGTAGTGTGTGCGCACTCTGTGCTGCCCGATGCTTTCGTTGGATGTGCCCTGCTGTCCGTGTCACTTGCGCTGTAGTTCGGGAGTCTGGGCAGCTTGGCCCTGCGCCCTGGCCTTGGCTTCTGCTTTCGTGGCGAAACTGAGCCCGGGTCTCCGCAGCCGCTTACAAACAACATGCGCGCTGCTCCGCTTTGTTAGGTCGTCGGAGATGCAAGTGACCCCTGAAGTGACGTGCTATGCTGTGTAGCAGCCGCACGGTACACGTGCTGAACCAGACTTCACAATGTGGATGTGCCGTCGTGCTCTAAGCGCACGAGAGATCTTAGCCTGTGAGTGCGCAATCATGTACGCATGCTGGTGCGCTCCTCCTGCTTCAGATAACACGCGTCACATGCTGCGGCCTGAATTCGTTGAGCATGATGTGATGCAGGTGCGCGCGCTGCGCCACCCTTATTGCGTAGTCGTCCTGGAACCTCCTCCGACAGTGTAAACGCGCTCACCGTGGCCCTTGGGTACCAGAACCTAGAGCTGTGGTAACTGTCCGCAACCAACGCTCGAATATGCTGATCCCTTGCAGCCTCTGTCAGGCTGGTCGTCCTTAAAATGAGGCATCGGTCGCTATCACTGTTGCCGTACCTGTGTGGGAGTGCGCCTAAGGCGCCGAGGCTGGCCGCCGATTCGGCCGTCGCGCAGGCCGATTGAAATTCGGCTGGAAGCGGCGCAGGTATATCCTCTGCTGAAGTCCCTGCTGAGGCTGTCCGGCAATGCGTGGTGAGGTAGCGTGAGAGCGGCTGCATCCTGCGTCGATACAACTACTCCTGCTCCCTCGTATGGGAAGCGGCGTTGCCATCTATCAGCTGCCCCGCCATGCGCGGCGGCCCCGGCCCCGTCATCCGATTTTGCCATGGGAGGCGCTCTGCTGCATAGCCTCTTCTGGGGCCCGACATCCCGACCGCGTAGTTTAGCACCCATCTCGCAATGCTGCTGTTTCGCCCTCGCACTCATCACACCCCGAACCAAGTCAGCATAGTGCGCTGTCGCGACATCCGCCGTAGAATGCCGCATGGGCATCGTGGCGCGGTGCATGGCGAGCTCCCCGTGCGCCAGCAGACAGGCCTGAGCGCCCTGCAAGATGCCGGGGGGCGGGGGTCCGGAGGAGCCTTCGGCGGAGACCTGCGGGAGATCTTTAGCCGGGGAAGGGGCGATGATGGCGTTGATCTCCACGTGGCCGGGATGGGCGAACTGCTAGTAAAATCCCATAAAATGCCTTTTGCCCCTCCGGCGTCGGGAGTCGGCTCGTTTCCTTAGTATTGCCGCAGTGGCCTGTGGCAAAAGACTGGCTGTGGGAACTACTGCGGCCGCGCGACGTCGCGGTCGTGGAAGCTCTGGAAGGTTGGGGTTCGCTCGCGGCCTGTAGCAAGGCCAGACTGTGCAGGCGCTGATGTTTGCCCTTGCCAGGCTGCAAAGAGAAGGTGCAGACTGGTCCTCCGGATGTGCTTCCTCGGGCGCAGTGGGAGCGATCCTCTGTCCTGCAATGCGCGGGTAGAGCGCCTGCCCCCCCCCGTCTCGCCCGACGTCCCGCGGGGGGGGCATGCGCAGAAAAAGGCAGCCATGATGGCCTCCCCGATGCGCTGGTCGCGCTGCCCCGCGCGGTCCGCGGCGTGGACGCTGAGATCGGGTGGTCGGAACTGCGCCACCAAATGTAGGAGTAGCCGGGCATCCGTTGGGTCAGAGTTGGGCCCCTGAACGCGAGGGGCTCTGCATGGCCTGGGCACCGCGGACACGTGGCCGATGGAAGGGGGCATGGCCTGAGCCGACGCAACCGCTCGTTTGGGCTTTGCCTCCGCGAGGCCGATCTGTTCGTCATCGCCTTGCTGGGAGACCCGGGGGGCCCTTGAAAGCACCGCGTATTGCCTGCTTCGGGCTTGCCTCTTGGCCCCTGCGGCCGCCCCCTTGCCAGCGTGCCCAGAAGGGTATTCGCTGACGTTGGGGGGGGGGCCCGCTGCTGTGCATGCTGTGAACGCTGCCAAACTATCCCATCTCCGCATGGCTGCTTCCTATGGCGCCGTCGCCCTGCAACATTGCAGCACCAACATCAATCGAATATCTAGAACTTTCTGCCGTTCTTCTCTGCTCCCTGCACGCAATGTGGTGACATCCTGCCACCCCTTGAGCTGTCTTCTTGAGCGCGCAGCACGTGCCGCGCAAGTGCAGAGGCCCGGAGCAGCGGCGCGGATGGCCGACGACGTAACGCACAGCAAAGCAGCGGCTTGCAGAGCGCAGTAGTCCCCAACATTCGCGTCCCCTGCCTGATTCGCGCAGACGCGTTTCCACCGTGCTCCCCAGATTGTAGAATTTGGCGATGCCCCCCCCCCCATGGCAGTTTGAGGGCTCGGTTGACGAGCTTGCGCGGGCTCGAGAAGGATCTGCTGGAGGCCTACGTTGTGCCCCTCAGGCGTAGGGATGCTTTGGCAGACTTCCGGGTGAATGTTCCGTCTCTCGTGCGTGGCGGTGCATCTGGCCCATATCAATCGTGCCGGTGCAGCGTGCTGTGCTTGTTCGACGATCGTCCTCCAGACTGGCTCGCCGAGGATCGGTTGCACTCTCATAGCGCAAAATCGTGCTAGGGTGTCCACCATTTGTTCCGAGCGTAAGCAACCCGTTCACGCGCGCGCTGATGCGTCACATTCCACACTCGCCCTCGCACACGCTGTGCAAGACTGCCCAGCATACGCCTGTCCGAACAGAATGCCTCACGCGCATATCCTCCTTGGCAGATGCCTAGCGCCCGAATGTTGTCTGCGGGAGATCGAGTGGGGCAAGTGGGTGCGCGCGGCGTCCGCGTGCTCCTGGCCGTGGCCCACATGGCCCAAATGCCCGCTGCTGAAATAGCTAGCGCACACGAGGCACAGGCTGGTACGCATTTCTCGCCTTGGCGCCTGCACCTGTAAACGATGGCATCCGCGAAGGTACGCCGGCCATCGCATGAGGCCTCGGAGTCGTAAGGAGCGAGTCCTGGCAGGGCCTGGTCATTAGGGGAGTGGCCGCAAGTGGCCCTGAACAGAGGGCCCCTAGGGGGCTGCTTGGGCAATGAGCATTCCAATGGCTCCTGAGTGCTTCCTGAGGCTGGTAGATGTAGTTCGTGCGTGCATGCGCCCCACGCTCGCGCGCAGGCCGATCCCGCGCGGCGTTTGCTGGAGTCGGAGGCAGCATAGACAGGCGAGGGAGGAGGCGGGGAGGGGCGTGGATCTGAGGCAACGCGGGCGAATTTGACACCTCGCCCAGCTGGGGCGGGGTCATGTCGGCGCGTTGGGAGGGGGCAAAGCGATGCGGCGGCCGGGTCTCAGATGGCGATGCAGCTGTCGACGCCGCAGGCGCTGCTGATGCAGCCGTTGGGCGGGCCGGAACTTTGGCAACTCCATGGGGGGCCCTCCTCTTCCGCGCCCCCTGCCGCGAGGTTGATTGTCTCTTCGTCTGGCCGCTCACGTTGCGAGCCCGCCGCCTTGTCGCTGCTGATCTTTGTCTGCCGTGGCGGGGCCTGTCCAGTCTGGCGCCTTGGTGAGACTGACCGAGCTGACTGGGGCATCGCTGCCGCTGCCTGCGCGAAGGCCGCATCCATGCGGTGACGGCCTGCTGTTCTGATCCACGACGGCGATGGCGGGGGCCTGTCTGGCTTGATCTTGATGTCGAGGACCTGCTGCTGCAATTGGTTATTGTCCTACTGTCCGCGCGGGCTCACATCGGGATTGTGCTTCAGAATGTCAGCCATGGCGCTCTTGAAATCCAGGGTATGCGAGAGGAGCTGGGACTGCGCATGCTGCGTGGGCGTGAGGAACCCCGGCGCGGTGATTTCTGTTCCCGCGCCCGCTGGGCCCGTGGGCGACATCGGCATAGCTCCACGCGGTGCATGGTGCATGGGCTCGGGCGTGTCGGCGTTGCTCTTGAGCTTGCCGCGCGCCGCAGGACAGGCTCTCTGCGGCCTGAAAGCACCATCTGCTGCGAGTGGCGCTTCATCCTCCGACTCATTATCTGCTTCATCATCATCCATGCATTCAGAAACTTTGGGATGCCCTCCGTTCGTGCGCTGGGCATGCTTGTCCGTCATCCTGCGCTCCTCCTTATCCGTCTCCTCTAAATCCTGGAAATGCTCTAGCAGTGTTTCTGCATGTGCGAGCTCTTCATGTAAGATCTCAACCTGGCTGCGGCAACTCGCGAGGTACGACTCATGAGGCTGAGCTGCTTGGCTGCGTGGGCAGAGGCTGTCCTCGATAACGTGAGCTGATGCAAGACCACGCTATATTCATGCCGCAGCCCCTCAACCTGATGGGTGTCCAACTTGAGTTCTTGCGAACACTGGATCTGGCGCTCGAATCTCTACAGCTTCGCTCCCAGGGCCTTGCAGCAATCACCGAGCTCCTGCGTGTCCTCAAGGGGGTCTTGCCATCTGCGATGTGCGACTGCTTGTTCGAGTGTGCAGGACGAGATATTCATGATCTGATCGTCGCCCTCGACAGCCAGCTTTGCTCTACCCTTGCTGTTCAGATTTTGCCACGGCGGGACTTTCTGCTTGTCACTGCATATGACATGCGAGCTGCTTGTGATACTTGACTGGGAGGCTCGGGTGACACTTCGAACATCGCTTGGCCTCCCACTTGTTGGCCTGGTTGCAGGCTGGACATTCCCACATACATTTCACTGATGGATGCTGTTTATCTTGCCGTTATCGACTTTTGCTGCGGGGTCTCGATGGCTGCCTGCTTCGGTCACGCTGTCCTCGCCGGCTCCACGACATGTCACTGGCACTGTGGTGGCCTGCGAAGAACTCTGTGGCGGCGACAAGTTGCAGCAGGGCCATGGTCTTGCTGCGGTCTGCTCTGGCTCTCCTATGCCAGGCAAGCTCTGGCGCACTGTCACGGGTAGCCCTCCTGCCGTACGCCATGATTGGGCGGCGGGGCGCGCGAAGGGGCTGGCGCGTGAGAGGCCTTTTCGGCGGGAGAACTCGCAGGTATGCTGATACCTGCGCCCAAATTCCCCTCGAGCCGTCAATTGTCTTGGCTGAGGGAGGAAAGGGGGGACAAAAACTCTTCCCGCCCACAAAAAGCCCCAAAACGGTCCGGGAACGCCAGAGTAATGCTCGAAAGAAGGTCCGCATCCTTGAAAAAACGGCCCCAACATGGTTCTACCGTGCCTCACTCTGCACGCTTCTAGGTGCCACGCTGACATGATGGAGGGTTCTGCTGCGGGCAGCCTGACGTGCTCCTATTTCCCACAACTCTCGCCCAAACACAGAAGAGCACATATATTTGGATGAGCTTAATTGGATGCCGGCGAGGACCCAGACTGTGGATTCTGAGACTCTCGGTGAGCACGGTTTGTAGTGCAGTGTGCATGGTGCACTCTACGCACTGGAATCCACGTAATGTACTTACTACGTGAGTCATGCGCTAGCACACTCTGAAGCTAGAGCAGACATTCCACCTAGCTGCGCACTACTGGCGCAACTCAGGAGGCCGTGCGTGAAGCTACCAATCGGTACTTGTTAACAAATCTCAACGGGCCCCATGGCGTGCGGATCCTTCGCGTGAAGATCCATGGGTGAGGCCAGCAAGTGTAGGGATAACACCGACAACGATGATGACGATGATGATAATGATACTTGCGATGATTCTGGCGATGAGGACGACGGCGACGACAACGACGATGATGATACCGACCGTGGTGATGCTGACGAGGGCAATTGTGATGAAGGCATTGGTGTTGGCGATGGCGACATGATGGGGGACCCTTTGGGCGTCCAATGGTTTTAGCACGAGTGTGCGCGCGGGCTATCTGACACTTTCAGTTGACACGCAAGTGTTTGTTACACCGGATTGAAGAGCCCTACCTGGAAATCAGCAGGTTGGAATTATTGTTCGAAACAGCCATATACTGAACATTGTGTTAACACGCGCGTGCGCGTGGACTCGCGCAGGTGGCCCGCATGGAATTACGTTTGACATCGTAAGCGGGTTCGGGGCGATGTTTGGAATGATGTGGGCATGTGTGGCTCGAGTGGTCTCATGTGACACGCATGTCAAACCACATGCGTACGTATCGCGTATGAGTTTAGCAAGAGCGCGCGCAGAACACCTGTATGCCTGTATATGCAAACGTTGTGTGGTAATTTCGGCGTGCATGCTTGGCCCGCGGGTTACGAACCCTTTGGAGCGCTTAAATCAACGCGTGTGCACCGCGTTCTATATTTGACACGGATCTCGGGGGTGCAGTAACGATCGGCCCGGGATGGCATCATGTGATATCTAAATCTACCGCCGTTCAGAAGAATCATGACAGGCAAATGCGCGAAGAGGGAAAGTAGCTCCCGCCTCGCCAGGGGGATGTATTCGAATGTTCTTGGGAAGAAGGAACCACTGAGGAGCAATATTTGCAGTGCGCTCTACATTAGCGGCTATGCGGTGCAAGCTTTTTGGTACAATTTACGAGGCACAATCCACGTGGTGCAGTCGGAGCGCCAGCCAGCGCAAGGGGCAGAAGTCTGGAACGCCAGCCAACGCACGGGGCGGTCACAAGGTGGCCACGGGCGTGCACCAAGCAAAGGGCCAGAAACGCCAACCAACGCACGGAGCGACAACTCCGTAGAACAGGCCAAAAATGTCTGGCGGAAAAAATAATCCCTGAATGCGCGCAAACTGTTTTGGGAAGAGTACGCACAAGTAAATTCAAATGCCCAATCGCGCTGGAAATAACAGACGCATATCCAACCAACCAGACCCCGTCAATGGGACGGCACCTTTTCACGGGCAACTCATTCCACGTTCCTGCATGCGCTAGCTATGACCCGGTTGACTACACCAACATCAGCCAAAGAAGTGAAGTTCTGGACGGGCACAATGTTGCTCGCAACCGGTCTCGATGCAAACGTCTTCATCTCGTTCATGTCCGCATGCTCGGTTGCAGGAACCCACATGAGCCGCGCCTCCTTTCGCAACGCGTCAGCAGCTTGACGCGTCTGGTGAGGGTTCATATGCCTGTGGTGGTGCCAAGAAAACTGCAAATGCCAAAACAACTGATGCCCGATGGATTCACAAACAAACGACAGAACAATACACTGCAAATCATCCGTGATCCGATGTCCAGCATTTTCTTCCGTTCAGTGGCACGCCCGATGCCTTTGCGCAGATTCTGCTTTCCCGACCTCATCCTTCTCCTCAACCCCTTGACATGAAATCCCATGGTGTGGCGGGATCCAGGGGGAGGCTCGAAGAAATCCTCAATGGCACCTGTAGCTCAGGGTGGAACTGGGACTGGACAACTTGCCGAATTACGAATCCATTGGGCATCGGTCGTTAGCGAATCGGTCTGGCCCGAAGACCTTCCGTCAGTGATGACGATCACCACCTTCGGGCGTCCATCTGCACTCCCGCTATGCAGCTCAGTGGTGGCACTGGCTAGCGCCGTGGCCGTCATAGTAGTGCCCTTCGGCCATGACAGAGCGGATACAGCACTGGTGAGCGCGGTAAGGTCCGTTGTGAAATGGCTCGCCCATTGCATGCGGCAGTCTGCGGAGAGGCTCACATTTCCTTCGCCACTGGCGCACTTTTGGTAGCTGGCCCAAGACAAAGGGCCACTATCCGCCACCATGTCCCTGGGCACGTTGAGGCGTGCTGTGATGTCAAGCCCTGCCTGGTAGGGATTACGTTATCTGCTAGGGGTCACCCACCCACCTATTGAAGCGCTGGCCCGCGCGCATCGCCCACCCTCCCCGAGCCTCCGTCGGCGCCCAGACACGTCCCAACACTGGCGCTCTCCATGGAGTCGAAGACGAGCAGGATGGCTTCCAAGATGGGCCAGGCAAGCCACCAATTCCGCCACGATGGCCCAAGCTGTCTCCAACACTACCTCATATGGCCCCAAGACAGCCCAAGATGGCTTCAGGACTGCACGGCTTCAAGAGAGCTCGTGGAGAAGTGGAGACGGCAAGGTGTCACATGTGACGACTATCCTCCGCCTCCTCTTCTTCCTTGTCCTCCATCTCATCAAAATCAGACTCATCATCCCACCTACCATCCTCGTCCTCGTCTTCAGCATCTCCATGATCGTCATCGACATCAACATCAGCATCTTCATCCTCATCATCATTATCACCATCATCACCGTGGTCCTACTCCGCTCCATGATTGAATCACGGCAGTGCAATGTGGGCTAGAAACGGCGCAGGAATCACATGTGACATCTCTCGGCGTTGCCTGAGCGGTCGCCGCAGAGAGCCCTGGCACAGGCCAAGCATGCCTCCAAAGTCCAACGATGTGTCACAAGCGAAAAGTTTTCTGGGTTTACTCCAGCCGTCACCGAAGTGAATGCATCTACCGCCGCTCGAAGTGTCGCACCTTCGGGCCTCCAGTCTCCCTCGCGCACGGATTACCGAGAATGCTGTGCTGGCACGGTGGCGGGACATGCCGCAGGCAACTTAATCCGCCGCCCCCTGCTTGCAGGGGTGCACGGCGTGCTGGACGTTTCAGGTTTTGGTTTTGGTTCTTTTTCCAAAAGAACTTCCCAATGGGCTCCGGCAGAACCCGCCGGCCACCCGGAATTTCCCCAAACGTGCTCAACGACCGCAAAAAATCCTCCAAGAACGGCCGTTTCGCTCGGGACATCCTCAAAAAGTCGCGAAGATGGCCCAAGATGGCCTCCAAGTCCGCCCGAGATGGTCCAAGACGGCCTCCAAGACGGCCCAAGAGAGTCCAAGACGGCCCAAGACGGCCCAAGAGGCCCCCCAGAGGCCTCCCAGACGGCCCAAGAGGCCTCCAAGAGGTCCTCCAGGAGAGTCCGAAGAGGCCAAAATCATTGATTTTCCATTGGTTTTTGAAGGATTTTGGCATTTGCGCCTTTTCGGCTCTCCGACGGCTCAAGACGGCCCAAGAAGCCCCCAAGATCGCCCAAGAGGCCCCCAAGAGAGCCCCATGATGGCCCAAGTGGCCTCCAAGATGGCCCCTAGAGGGCCCCAAGAGGGCCCAAGAGGCCTCCAACACGCCCAAGATGGCCTCCCAAACGCCCAAGATGGCCTCCAAGACGGCCCTGGAGCATTCCAAGCGGGCCCCAAGTCGGCCCATAGAGGCCCCCCAAACGGCTTCCGACGGCTTCAGACGTGCCAGGAACCCACCAAGATGGCCGAAGTTGGCTCGAAGCTGGCCCGAGACGGCCCAAAAAGCCCCAAAGATCGCCCAAAGCTTGCCCAAGAGGCCTCCAAGACGGCCAAGATGACCTTCAAGATGCCCACGTGTTCCCCGAAGGCTTTCCAAACCGATTCGGGGAACACGTGGTCCGATAGCTTGGCAGGTCTGGCCTCAACGTTCGGCCACATAGGCGCTTCCAAAAAGGCAGGGGGCGGCGGTGATTCGCCGTAGGCGTCTTCGATACAACAGCACTGCAACCTGCGTGCCGGTATTGCTGACAAGGAAAGACTCTGCGAGCATCTTTCCTATCTCAAGAGTAGCTATCCATCCCTCGTCGCTGACGCTGCCGCTGCCATCAAGGAGCAGCACCACATCCAACTTCGTCATGCACCTGCGCAGGGAACTCGAATGCAAAACTATTCGATGACGCATTACATGTGTACGATGACCCCTCAAGTTGGAGAGCACGTTGCGTACATTGAAGCGTTGATGCATCCGCGCGGGTCTCTTGGATCGGCGCAGGGCCAACCTCCGCCAGGGGTAGCGCTGGAGACGCCGCCGCAGGGGCACGGAACTCCGAACATTTATGCTCGACTCTCGCTGACGTTGCCACTCCCTCCCACGCACCCCCTGCCACGACCAACGTACTACTGGACAGGCCGGAGACGCCGCCGCAGGGGCGCGGAACTCCGAACATTTATGCTCGACTCTCGCTGACGTCGCCACTCCCTCCCACACACCCCCTGCCACGACCAAAATACTACTGGACAAGCCGGTCTGGCGGGGCACCTTGGCCTCCCGTGAGCTTCGGGGGCGGGGGTTGCTGCCCCTCACCTTCCCCGCTCCCGCCCACCTCCCCTCGGGTTGGTCGGATAGCAGAGAGGCAGTTAGCCAACCTAGGTGCGCTCGCGCCGCATCTGACATCCGATCCCTCCCTCCCATCCCTTCCCATGGCGTTGATTTTTCTCTATCCGCTGACGCGTGTCATAGCCGACCTGCGACACCCGCAGAAAGACCACCTCGTGTCATGCGCAATCGGAAAAAGAAGGGCTGCGTGCACAGTGTGATTCAAGCACACTCCCGAGGGGTTTGTGTTTCATCCTTTGCCCACCGCTGCCGTTTTATTTCGAACTACGGCCCTTGGCCTTAGAGCTACGCCCCTCGCGAGGCCGCGAGTAAGAAGATCCATCGACAATATTCCATATCACAATGGTAGCTTGGAGCGAGTCTCAACTGCCCGGCGCCGCGCGCCATTCATATCCTGGCGCTGCGCGCCATCGTCTTGTGCAGCCACGACGACGCCGTCGCGACCCACGGAATCGAAGCCCAGCGGTTTCCTGCTCGCGCTGTTGCTCAGCGCGTACATCAGCGTCAGAGACGCGATCAAAGCCTACTACTTATCCGACAGCGTCAGCGACGCCGTCAACTCCTACCCTGCCAACTCCTACGTCAGCGTCAGCGACGCCGACATAAACGCCTACTTCTCCTACGACAGCGTCAGCGACGCCGTCATCAACGACTACTTCGTCTACTCCTCCCAGGCCAGCGTCAGCGACGCGAGCATCAACGCCTACTTATTTTACGCTAGCGTCAGCGATGCAAGCAAAGCCTACTTCTCCTACGTCAGCGTCAGCGACGCCAGCATCGACGTCTACTTCTCCAACGCCAGCGTTAGTGACGCCAGCTTCAACAGCTATTTCTCCGACAGCGGTGTCAGCGACGCCAGCTACTTCTCTTTCCTGCTCGACCTACTGACGGACAACTACGCGTACAACACCATCCCCACATGGAACGGTGACTCGGCAAAGTCGAGAGATTACAAACAAGAGGTCAGGCTCTGGAAGCTCAGTGAGAACCTCGCCGTGGCCCACAGCCTCGCATCGAAGCTCGTGCTGAAGCTAGGTGGGACTGCCCGCGGCGCAGCATTGAATCTGACTGACGCGCAGCTGCACCCAGCAGCCGCGGCGGACATCGAAGACCCCGATGACAATAAGCGCAATAGGAACCAGGTCGGCATCGAGAACGTGCTACAACACCTGGAGGCTAGTTTGTGCCAGCAGAAGCCTGTGCAGAAACGCGATACCCTCGAGAAGTTCATCGAGTCGACTCAACATCACCGATGACGAGGTGACCGCATGATGGATTGGCTCATCCGTTTCGAGACTGGATTGCAGCAGCTACGCGAGAACGAGGTGGACCTCAACGCGCTGGACGACGTGGCGGGATGGCTCCTGCTGCGCAAGGCTGGGCTCACGGCAGAGCGCCGAGAGCGCGTCGCGGGCAACCTGCCCGACGAGCACTACGGCTACCAGCGCATCCGCGGGCTGCTGGTCAGGATGTTCCCGGATGCACGTGCGTCGGAGCGCAGCGCCCCCCCGCCGCGGTCATGGGCCGACCAGTCGCGCTCACAAGACGGCTGGCGCAGCAACGGCTCCTCCAGCCGCGGGGGGCGCTCAACCAATGTCGTCGACGAGCCGGGCGACGAGAACGACGAAGAGCCGGAGGAGGACGACGGGGGCGTAACCGACGCCCAGGACATGGTTCGCCCGGAGCTCGAGGCCTTCAGCGCCGAGCTCGAGTCCTCCAACGTAGACATCTCCGAGCTGTTCGACCGCGACGACTCTGCCAAGGTCGAGGCTGCCGCAGCTGAACTTGCCGCTATTCTCGAGGCCATGGCCACCATCAGATCGGCTCGGGAGCCCCTCAAGGGCCGCTGCAAGGGGAAAACCCGCGCCGAACCGCCGCCCGACCAAGCTACAGAGTCGGGTCGACCAGCGCAAGAGGAACACTTCTTGCTGGGACTGCGGCGAGACCGGACACTGGACAGGAGACAAGGAGTGCCCCACGCCAGGTGCTCGCAAGTTCGCGCCCAAGGACGGCAAGTCAAAGGGCGGTGGACGAGGAGGTCGCGGAGGCCGTCCTCAGCGCCAGGCGCGCATCACCGAGCAGGTCCAGTTCGCGGGCGACGAGATCGCCCTGCGCCCGCAGGGACCAGTCACGCCGCCCCCGGATACCTGTGTCTCTTAGCGGCTCATCCACCACCTGCTGAACGTGAACGTCGCGATCGGCAGTGACAAGCCCGTGGACGAAAGCGTCGGCGTGGTCGACACTGCGTCTCGGGCAAGAAGTGGTACGACAACTACAAAGACATCCTCGCGAAGATGGGGCTTGCCGACCAGATCCTCGAGGAGCCGGAGGACGAGGTCTACGGGTTAAGCAACGGAGTTACTCTCCCAAGCAAGCTGAGCGTCACCGCGCCGCTTGTGTTGTGCGGCCAGGCTGGCCGCGTCGTGTTCAGCGTCGTGGACAGCCCCGCGCTGGGTTTGCTCATCGGCCGCGATTTCATCCAGCCTTCCAAGATCGACATTTCTCTGGAAGGGCCAGGTTCGCATCGGGAGCGCCACCCAGAAGCTCACCGCGAGCGCCGCGGGCCACCCCGCAATCAAGCTGCAACCAGAAAACTGGCAACCTATCAAGGACGCCGGCATGGAGCAACCGCCCAGCGCAGCCAGCTCGTCCGGAAGGAAGCGACAGCTGAACAAGATCCTGTACAAAGTGGTCGAGAAGACGCTCGACCGACGGGATCGGAAGACGAGGGCGGGCGACCGGCCCACGGTCAACAACGCGACCAGGACCAGCGCGCTGATCGACACCATCAACAACGAGTTTGTCTTTCCATTGGGGGGGGGGTAACGCCCGTTACGGGGGGGGGGGCGGGGGGTCCGGCCTCAAGTTGGGGGTAGCGGTAACGCGCGGCGGGGCCCTCGCACGGGCCCTGGTACTTATTACCAGCACAACTGTCGGCACGGTAGGCTTCGTCGTCGTCGTCGTCGTCGTCGTCGCCGCTGTCGTCGTCGTCGAAGCCGACCGTGCCTGTGCACACTACACAGGCACTGTAGACCGCGATGCCTTTGTACACCACAACTGCGGCAGAAATGGCATGCGTGTGCACCACGGCGACTGAGCACATCATGACAGGCGGGTGCACCACAGCGCCCTTGTACATCTCACTGTTGGCGCACACCAGGGCGCCCGCGTGCACCGCAGCTGCTGTTTCAACGCCCCGTGTTTGCACCAGAATTCCAGCGTGCACCACAAAGCTTGTGTACACCTGTAAGGTACCGGCGGAGCGAAAGTCCAGAAGATCGTTCGGGGCCCCACCGTTGCCCTTTCATTATGCGAGCTGCGTGTGGATCTTAATTTTTCTAATTAAAAAAGCGCTCGGACCTGTTGAGCCCACAACGCCTGCGTACTCCATTGCGACTGTGTACGTCATGGGAGTGTGAACCGTGGCGCCTGTGTATACCACATGGCATGTGTGCGCCGCAAAGCTTGTGTACGGCTTTTTTTTGTGCGGAGTGTAAACCGCGCGCCGTGGGGGCGCGCGGGGCGGCGCCAGTCCAGGGAATACAGGAAGCAGGAGCTCCCTGCACAGGCACAAGGCCCTTGAGACATGGGTCGACGGCTGGAGCGTGCACGCGGGTGCGTCGTCGTCGTCGCCGTCAATTGCGACGGCGACCGGGGGGGCGACGGCGGCGGCGGCGGCGACCGCGACGACGACGACGACGACGACGGCGGCGGCGACGGCGACGACGCCGACGGCGGCAAGCGGCGGCGGCGGCGGTGAAGGTGACCGCCGCCGCCGTCACCGCCGTCGTCGTCGCCGCCGATGCCGCCGTCGCCGTCGCCGCCGCCGCCGCCGCGCCCGCAGCCAGTTGCCGAAAGCTTCAGCAGCGCTTGGGGTCCACTTGCTGGATGCACATGCGGGGGGCCGGCGTGACTTGCCGCGCGAGGTAGGAGGGCCGAGCGCTGGAAGGACATGCGGCCACATCCGCGTGCAGGTCTCGCCCAATCCAGCCCCTTGCACCAGCACAGGGAGAATGGAGGGAGGACAGTGGTAGTAGTCATAATGATATAGTGAGTGCACCGGCTGGTTGCGCCATGGCTTGCCCGATGCGTTACACCACACGTTGTGCTTGCGTACAATTACCTGCGCCATAGGTTGAGCCGTAAGCTGCGCCATAGGATGCGCCCCCAGGGCGTGCCATAGCTTGCGCCATAGGTTGCGCACCCAGGGCGCCCCACAAATCGCGCCTTACGTTGCGCCTTAGGTTGCGCCCTCAGGGCGCGCCATAGGTTGCGTCGATGGTTGCGCCACAGGTTGCGCCAAAGGCGGGGCCACTTTGTGGCGCTGCGTTTCAACGGAACTCCTGGTGCGCGCACTGTTCGGGGAAACGTCGTGCTGGCAGGCGGGCGTCGGGGCTCCGGGCGCAGCCCGTAGGATAATGACAACGGACGCGGCAGGGATGACGACGACCATTCTGTGGCACCTGCGGCGCGCCACACCGCCGATCAAGTGCTAAAGCGCAGTGCCCGTTGGCACTGCCCGCA